TTAGTGAATGCAGTTGTTCTGAAATAAGTATTTCAACGAAAAATTCCAGTAGAGTTAACTTCTCAATAAGTAATACAAAATTGAAATTGTTATCTATATTTTAAATTTCGCCACAAAATGTTCAACCCGAATCCGGCAGCATCTTAACCCGACCGACCCGACCCTAGGGTCGAATCGGGTTCTGGTCGGGTTGCAGGTCTCTACTATTCACTCGATAAAAATCACATCTCATGCTTTAGAGTTTTGTCAACTGCGTCTCCACTTAGTCATTGCCATTGTTGTTCCAAAACGCGGCTCCTTGAACTAACATGCGTTCAACAACAGCCGAACTTAACAGCATATCTAAAAAGAAAGTCCATCCCTAAAAACCAAGTTGTCTGCGACGAAGAAAAAATATGTCGTTTGCAATTAAATTCGCCTTTCAGTGATTATATTGCCTCTCTTCTAAAAAGAAAAAGCGACATGACATTCTGAGTTATCCTGTACAGTAGGCATTTTTCCATAGAGCAGGCGGACATCTAGTCGTTTTAGTTAAAAAACAATTATTAGTAGCATAACATTGCTTAATTATGTCTCAAATGAAATACAATTAGAAAAAAGGTTACAGCCGAAAAGAATTTTTTTCAATGAAAAATGCCTGAGGGGGTACTTGCTCTAAATTTTTGCCAAAATGTGTTATATTTGTAAAACTAACAAACTATACGTCATTCGACGCAGTTTCATGCGCTGATTTAAAATATGTCATTAGTTTTCAATAAATGTATTTTTCAGTCAAGAAAAATAGATTTTAGTCTAAAAATCAAGGGTTTTTGGAAAACACATATCAAAGGTCCTGTAGAAAAACCGCATAGAACTGCATTCGTAATGAATGCAAGACATGACCACGGATAATTTGGTATAATTTTGAATCAGATCCGACTTGCGCAATCTCATTACGTTCTAAGCACTTATACGGAACGAAGATTAATTCAGGAATTACATTTTTTTCTCCTAGATCCTAGGTACCAAAGTGGAAAATTGTTTCGTTGATAGATAACTGAGTGTGTCTAGATTCGATGTATCTGGACATCCCTAACTTAATCAAAGTCAGTTTGCTTATTGTCCGAGATGTTCAATCTAGGGATATTAACAACCATGTCTGCTCTCTAACGTCGTAATCCAATAGCTTGTATCAACCTCTGGTACTCATTATGCGGGCGAATTACTATAAACAGAAACCATTTTTTAAGAGCTCAGAAATTTATATAATTGAATACGAAATCCTTTAATGATAGTCTTAAAATGACGAATCCATTTTAGGGATCAAGATGTGTAGAATTCATTATCATCGTCATCCTTATTAATATCATTCGAATGAGGCATTATGATAATAATTTTTTTTTACAATACTGTATGACATATGTTCACAGCGGTTGTTATCATGTCATGGAATAGACTCTTTAGCAAACATTTATGTCACACAAAATATTTCTGCCGAGACAATAGGTCATTCTTTTAATGTAAATCACGGATAGATTATCAAACTCAGTATTTCAACTTTAAATGTTCTCTCAAATTCCATGATCTGTCCATTCAATAATCTGTAATATCTACCGTTGAAAACATTATAAGAAAAAATGCGGCATAAGATAACAGTGATCAGATTGCTCTATTAAAACAATTGTTTCAGGTTTACTCGTTACCACAAAACCAACAAAACAGACAGGAACTAATTCCTAGAAGAGTTTGCACAACATAAATTGAGAATATTGATCAATAATTAAATAGTATCACTCCATTACTGTTATATCAGTCAAAAGAAATGATGTTAGCTGAGTAACACATAGGCGAGAAAAAAATTTCCAACAAAATAGAAAAACATTTTTTGTTCAGTATCACCTTCTCATACATCATTATTATAGTCACCTTTTCTTGACAAAATTATTTGTTTTAATTTACATCAAACTCGAATGTCTTTGTTACTATTTTTTAATAAAATAAAAAAAGGAGAGAATCGAACTAGACAATTTTTATTGATTTATATTTACATTAAAGAGACACATACACACAATGATGATTGTGCTCCCATAAACAGAACACCATTTGTGTGTTTTCATCTATTTTAGAGTTGACATATCTCCTATGATGATTTGTTTACACAAAACACGTTCATTCGTGTGTGTATAAAATGAGTTCAATCAAATGGATTATATGTTTTGATTGAAATAACATGTCACACATTTCTGAGTTAGAAATAGTCAGTCACCTCAACAGATTATTTAAATTTATTCTCAACAGATAAGTATACAATTCAATACAAAAAAAAAAAAATTGACGATTGTTTTACTAATCTGATCTATGTATATTTGTCCATCTGAAAAGAAAGTCGCATATTATAAGACTTGAAAATCAATCTTTTTATCATCATACGGAAACATATTCTTCTCTCATTTACAAGTGAACCATTGGCTATTTTGTGATGCTTTTATACAAGGTGTTTGAACTAGATTCTGTAATTTAGATTCTTTCGTCTTTGTTCTAAGTATGTATGTGACATTTGTATACGATAATTTTGTTTGTTGCACAAGATCTACACAATAAATAATCATGATAAGTAGAGAGATTAAATAAAAAGTAAAAAATTATCATTGGTACATCTTTTAACTGAAAAGTGTGATTAGATCATAAATCTTCGATTATATTTTTCTCATCATCAAATTGAACTGCTGTATTAGATTAAAAGAATAGTAGATAATCAATTTCGTTAGTACAATTTTGTTAACTTTTTATTTTTATTTTTTTAATCACTTGATCATTTCTGTCCTATATTTGACTAATTAAAACTCTATATCAGGTAGTCGTTTGAGTTTATAAAGCTCTATTGAAATATTGATTTCATAAAAGTAAGACTTTTTTTTTATAATGAAGGTCAATCTCTTTTATATTTTATCTTTTATAGTAAGACGTCTGTTTAAATTTAACCTCTTTTGTTTTTTAAGTGCTGTTAATGGCAATGGTCACTTTTCTTATTTCTTCTATACTTGAATTTAATGGCCACTAAAACGCTATGATGTACATCTAACGTTTTTCTAGTAAAACTATCATCGGTTATACAGTTCTCTTTACCAAAGCATTTAGACTATCTTTTGCATATACTTACTTCATGGATCATTATCAAACCTTGACATGCTTTCTCTATGTGACGATAAGATATCTAACCAACTGTTTCTGTCTATTATCGTTCATAATTTAAAATGTTTACATTTGTATGATGTAACAGTTTTTTTTCTTTTTTTGAGAGAGAAACTATGTCATTTAAACAATAATTACTGTTAGTAGTTGTCTCATCTATTTACAATTGAAAATTAACATATTTGACGACCAGAGAGATTAAATAAGTGATAAAAAGAGAGAAATGATATCGAAAGATGTAATATATAATTATTATAGACAATATCCATTTTGTAGACGACATGTTATGGTGTTATTTACTATAATTAACTTTTCTGTGTTTTATGACAAAAGAAGTCACAGTTGACATTTAAGTTATATAGATGAAAAAGTTTTACTCGTCTCATTACTCTACACTCTATATTAGAATCGAAATATGAACGATGAATGATTGGATATCAATAAATGAATTGGTTTACTAATCTATGTTAATGGTTTACGTTAATTAGCCATGTCCTTCTGTTAGCCATTGTTTGTATATTGTTTATCGTTAATGATTAAAGTTTTCATCATATTTTTAGTATTTTGTTTAGACAATAATAAATATAAAATGAATCTTATTGAAGATCTTATAATTTAGACTCTGTTATTGTTTTGTTAAAAAAAAATGTAAATGATCATCAGCGATAGTGGTAAACTACAACAATATTAATCATGACACACGTTCTACTTCAATAAGAAAAATGTGTGTATGAATAGGTTTCATTCATTCAACGCCTATTGTTCATCGCTCACATTTTAAGTGAATCTCTGATGCATTTTTGATTGATGACTTTATACATATAGATGCTTGTTTTGGTTAATCGGTTTTTACTTTAATTCAATGGATTTGTCTCGAAAGAAGGTTTTATATTTGTACGTTGATTTCATGTTTAAAAAAAATGATGTAATAGCAATCAATAAATTAACATTTGACAGCAAATTCTTAATCTTCAACATGTTGAGAGAGAAAATGTGACGTCAATTTCCTTATCCACAGCTCAAAATCAAAGGTAAACTATCAATATGAAGAGATTGACTTCAATCTTCTTCACAGTTTCATTTCTTTAATCTATATGTGATATTAAATATAAAATTCTTTTCCCGACTTTTTAATTCTAATAAATTAGCCAAAATTTCTATAAAAGAGAAAAGACGACACGGAAAAATAGATGGTGATTATAAACACTAATTTGAATATTTTTTATTAAAAACATTTAAACAACAACAAATAAAAAAGCAATAATACAGATTGGACTAAGCCATGTAGGGCCGAGTGAAAAAACAAACAAACAAACTAATACTAAAATCAGAGAATAACGTGGGATACAGTATCTTTCATTTTAGGCATAAACAAAAAGTAAAGAATAGTTAGAAAGGAGTTGTTTTCAAAAGTGCAAGCCTTTGTAAAGGTCGGTTTGAAACCAATTATAATTCCTGAAAGGCAATTTCTCAAGCCAGTTGTAGTCAGTTTTAATCAAAAAACAAAAAAAAAAGAATTATTCTTCAACAGAATTGATGCAATATGGATAGAAACTTGAAGAACTATTAGATAAGTACTCTGATGCATAACTAGATTCTGGACGAAGAAAAGATGAAAGATTGGCTTCAAGTAGAAAAAATATATATTACTGTGACAAAATGAGAAATATATACAAAAATGTACATGATACGATAACAACAGCAACAACAACAACAACAGCAATGGTCAAAAAACTTTGCACTCTCTTTCTACATATGACATGGAATGATGTATTTCGCGACTCATTAAACTTCCTATAATACGTTTAAATTTTGAAATTGTACAGTTATTAACATTTTTTATTTAATTCTAATCGTCTAAAACGAACCATTCGTTGTTCCATTCTTTCTCGCCATTCAATAACAACAGAAGTTCTATCTAGACTTAGTGATGTTTGCATTTGATCATAAAAACCCATTAGTAAATATTCATGATCTATTTTTAGTCTTGGACAATTACATTGTATGTCTTTTCGACTTATCCATACCCATTGTTCAGTTTCTTGTATTCGATTTAAACGATCTTTATATACACGTAAAATAGTTAATAAATATGAGATCCATTGACCACCATCATGACGATTTGTTACACGAGCATGAATTGCTATAGAAGAAGAAAGAAGTAAAATTTTTAAGAATTAATTATTAGAGAAAAATACTTACTATAATCTCGTTTACAATATTTTTTGAAATGTAATCGTTTACTATAATATCGACAAGCACCACAATACTGACTTTGATCAATAGCTGATCGACTATCACTAACATCACCATTATCTGACGGAATGACAGTAGACGATTGCGGTGGAGATTGTTGATTATACGAATATGTTCCATCGTCTTCACGATTATTGGATGATGAATATGCATCATCTTGATAAATACTGTAAATAGGAGATAATTCCAAAGTTCCTAGAAGTAAATGAAATTTCCTAAAACTCCAGTAATTATTTAATAACTGTCGAAAAGTAAATTGATTAAGAGGAAAAAAGGTTTTTTCTCTTGATGGTGATAAATGACCAAATCAAATTCTCTCTCCCTCTCTCTATGTTATATAATAACATGTAGTAGATTGATAGATGAGCACTTTGACTATGAAAATAATAATATATCAATTATTTATAGTTTATCTTGTGAATAAATACGACTTGGTTGTATTGTCAACACTTCATTTCTGTTATCATCGATAAGATATTTCAGCATAGTTAATTTATAATTAAAAAGGGTGTAAATTAACAAATCGATTTTGCTCTACATACGTATGCATGGTGCTACTGGTGACTTTGTCTGTTGATAACCTTTCAAGCATCGATCACATCGAAGTCCCGTTACACCATCTTTACAAACACATTGTCCAGTTGTTTGATTACACGTTTTACCACGAGATCCAACCGGATGACAATTGCATTCTAGACAATAGAAATAGATAACATTATAAGATGTATAGAATTATATCAATTATAAGATGTGAATCACAAACATCCAAGTGTTATCACTAGTGACCAATGCTATACTATATTTTTTTTGTGTGTGTGTGTTTGAAAAGCATGATGTTAGAGGTATTTAGTAGCAAAAGCAATCAAGTATGTAACTTTATTTTCAATATATACACTTGAATCATATAACAATATTTGCCAAGTTCTTGTTATTTAATGTTTCTTTTCTTTCTTTTTGATTTATCTCTACATTGATTTCTCATATCTTTATTGACACACACATATCATTAAAACAAAATTACCACTTGTTAACATGATTTTAATAGTTCTTAATATAACTCGAGTTGATAACAGTTTTTTGGAAGTCTATTTTGTCTTATTTTATTTCTTCTTAAAATCTAATGTATATTTAATTTAATCTCCTATTGTATATTTCATCAAAAAATAGTTGCATTGTTTATTTGTCTTTCTATATCATAGATAGATTCAATGTTTACACTTGTAATTATGTTTCTCAAAGACAAAGATATAATAATATCGAGCAAATACGCAGAAATACATTAAGAAAAATGAGAGAGAAACACATACACACACAATGATCTTGAAGACATCTTTTGTTTAGCATATACATCTTTTGATTCTATCTTTCTTTGGAGAACAAAAATCGATGAAACGAAAAATAACCACATGGTTATGGCTATACTATGATTTGATGAAAGATTACGAAACTAGATACTAACTGCCCTTTGGGAAGATTGGAAAGCCGACCAAGTGAAACGTTTCTTACATACACTTTAGACACCATCTGAATCCTTTAAATACGGTTGAAGCACTGCTGTCTGTTCGTAGTAAATATTTTGATGTATTCTATCGGTAATAATGTTTCAGCCTATAAATGCATCAAACTACACAGAAGTATAGACTGATAAGTAGTACGTGACTACTTAATGAGTCACTGCACACTGTTCATACTGAATGTCCATTAGTTATTGCATAGGAAAAACGGTAGAGTTCTTGAAAATATGCTCAGGTTTTAGAGCTCATATAGTTCGCTAGTTAAAAGGTATACAGAAAAACTAATTTCAGATATGCCATCCTATGGCTCTTACGAGGAAAGGTCCCCAAGTGTGCGATCGCTTTTTTTACTACATGTTCATTGTCAAATCAAAGCTACAGAAATAAGAAGAAATTAATTTAGGGCTTTTCTTGTAAATTCTACAACTCTGTAAAGAAAGGTCACGCAGAGCTAGGAGATGTCTCATTTTAATCAGAAATTTGAGAACTACAACCATGCCTCATTACGAAAGGTTTTTGTTATTTTTTATAGTTTCTGAAAAACTGGTTTTCTAGAAATCCGGTCTGTGGAGACCTAAGTGCCCAAACGAATGTCATATTCGGATTCAGCATAGTCGATTACCTACTGTCCACTAAATTTCGAAGAAAAAGCGATTGCACACTTGCGGACCTTTCCTCGTTAGACTTACTACTGATCTTTGTCCCAAAGCTCTACTATTAGGAATAGCTGAGAACGAGTGGGTGACTCGAGCAAGAAAAGTGTGGAAAGAAGGAGAACAGAGCCAGCTGATCTGCGGAAAGACTGGAAAGTCGACTAAGTAGCACGGGAAACAGACGAAATTAGAACATCCAGAAAGTCATAACACATTGACTTTTTTTCGGAACGATAATGGTCAACACGAATTGGATATTCGGGACGATACCGTGAGAAATTTAGAAAAGCAAATCGAATCTCGTGTTTTCTCCTTTAATAGCAAAGACGTGTTTCAGAATGTATTCACCTGCATTTATCTTCTACGATATATTATTCACATTATCATATCAGCTGATTCATTATCCTATCATACATTCTGCTAGAGCTTTCATCATATCAAGCACTATAGCATATATATTCACTATGAAGTGAATCACGGGACGATTAATTATCTCATAAGCAAAACGATACAGAGTTGTCTAAAAAATATACTCATTTTGTGGCACTAATTATAGGATAACTAAAGCAAATAGCCCAAACTAACTTCAGATGTCTCACCTACAGCTGATCTACTTTTGAATCATCTTCTTCTTCAAATCTGTGGAATCTGAGATAACCGAGAACGAGTGGCAGCCTCGAAAGAGAAAACATAGTGTGAAAAGAAGAATTTTGCTAGGCAACGCCGAAGTGGAAAGCAATAAGTCTCCTATCGTTTTACTCAGTCGACTTAAGAAGAATGTTTTATGGTGAACTAGAATAAGCCTCCTCGAGTTTCACTCGCTCGACTTAAAAGCTGATATTCTGTAAAAAGTGTAATTTGTCTATTAAGTTCAGACATTGTTTGAAATCTCCTTTAAACTGAAATTATTTATCGATGTACAATACAATTAATTTCGGTCTGTTTGAAAGTTAGTTTGGTTTCTATGTAATGAAAAAAAGGCATCAGAACAGATAATACATCATAGACGACAGTGTTACGAGCCGAAGGTTAACAAGAAAAAAGATCCTAGTTCTCTTTTTGCGTAGAAATGCTGCCTCAATTTCTAAAATTTTGTTATTTCTGATCTCAGTTGTACTTCAAAGTCTGAGCTTAATTCTTATAACAATTAACGATTATATCTACATGTAGATTTCTATCAAAACTTTTCGACGACAAGGCAGTATATAATCTTAAAATTTTGTTGGCACAGATCGGGTGTCCTCTCAGTTCGTCCCAAATTGGCTTTGTAAGATCAAACAACATCAAAGGGGTGGGCAGGTGTGAGAGTGAGCAATTTGGGACGAACTGAGATAAACCCACAGATCGTAACCCTTTTCAGTCGGATGTCGTCATATGGTAACATTTTTCTTTGTTTTCTTTGTTTTTTATAAATAGACCTGACCATAAAGGATCAAAATTGTTTTATTCATTTAGTCATGACCATATAAACATCTGAGTTGACAAAATTGTTTTAATATTTCGCTCGAGGATCTAGTTTAGAAAAAAAAGGTTCAAAAGAAATATAAGAATGCCGTAAATTGAAATATAAACAAAGCAATTTCCTTCCTGTTAAAAGAAAAAAACTTTGTTTCATATTTATTAAAAATACTATTTCAGGAAGAACTTGTTATAAATATCGTTAAACAATCAATCAATCACTTGATTTTTTTCAATGTGTAAATATATTGAAAATAAAAATGTGAAAACTTACCTTATCATAATTCTAAAAAATAAAAAGATGAACAATAAAAACACACACAACATCTAGTAAATAATAGATGTTAATATCATACAAGGTCAAACATAATAATCATGCAATTATAAAAGGAGAGAAGGAGAAAAAAAAAAACATTCATCCATTTTAAATTTGTTTTTTTCGAAGAAAAAAAAGTAAACTCATGCATAAATTCAGGTTATAAGCAAAATATAGTCATGCGCTCTAAACTACAATAGCACTAAACTCTCATTTGTCATATGATTTAGCCTACCTTTACATACTTTCGGATGATTTATTGACAATGAAATATCGCGATAATAGCCCTCTTGGCAATAATGACATGAACGGCCTACAGTATTATGCTTACAATTAATACATATTCCACCTGATTTTCTCCCGGATAACAAATACAATTCCTTATTGAAACGACATTGTTTGGAATGAGAATTACAATTGCATGCTGCAAAAACATAAAATAAATATATACAGATCACTAACCCTTCACAGATTCAAATGGATGAATATTAATTTTTTTCTCTTTTTCTCATATAAAAATTTAGTTTTTATTTGTGATTGTGAAAACTATAAAGAATGAGAGAAATAGAGAGAAGAAAAAGTGAATAAAAGGTGCAACATTGAGACAACAATATATTATTAGTTTGTTCGACTGTATGTTGTATTTTTTACCTCTACAAACACTCGCACTTGTTATCAATTCATATTTATCTTTATAGTAGCCTTCTTGACAATAGTGACAATTTCTACCGGCTGTATTATGCTGACATGCTAAACAGACACTGCCTGATTTGTGTCCACTCAATTTGTACAATTCAAGATTAAAACGGCATTTTTCTGAATGATTATTGCAATTACACACTAAAAACAAGTTTTTATTTATTATTAATCATCTTAGAAATAAATGTATAACTATAAACATAATTTTTTCAGTTTTATAATACTCTTACTTTTTTATCGATACTACAAAACACCAATTATAATAGTAGTTTAACTTACCAATACATTCATTAGCATCACGTTGAGTTGCTCTTGCCCATGGTCGATCATAATAAAAATCTTTACATCTTTCACATTCATCACCAGCCGTATTATGTTTACAATCACAAACTAATCGACCATCACTAAAATCAATTATAAATTTAAAAAATCAATTTATTCTTTATATAAGAGAGATCAAAAGTCTTTAATTGGAAAACATATATTTTTCCACTGTTTTATTTTTAGAATTCGTTAAGATTCGTTAGATATATTGTTACCATATAACGTGTATAAACAGTTGTTCACACGCCTGCTAACTTCCTTATCTTTTATTATTTATTTTTCATATTCTTATGTACAGACAAATCAATTTGTTTCTTCGTCTTCTTCTTTTTCTACATGTATGTAATTGTTCTTTTGAAAATCAACACGAAGAAGAAAATTGTATAATAATACCTTGTTGTATGTAATATTGCATGATTTAATTTTTTTCTTCTCTCTCAGTCATTTACTCACACACACACACATATATATATATATCCTAAAGGTTTCTCATCATAACAGTAGATACTTGTCTTTCTTTATCATAAAAGACTTCTATCTGTGTGATCATAATTTTTAACGTCACTCAACTCTAAGAGTCTGTTTTGTTTTTAGTGATATTTGAATCCTGAGAAAGAAGCTCTATTATAGAGATTATTTTACTGTCAATGAGATTGTATGATTTCTTTATTCTTTACAATAAAGAATAAAAATAAATACATTCAATGAATCTAAACATTTTTAGAATTCAACTTTTAGTCTTATTTTTAAATATAAAACTGCAAAATAATAAAAATGATTCAAAATAACTCTTCAGGTTGTTAATCTCTTACACTTTGAATATTAATTTAATTATTTCATCTTTCTTTCTCTCTTCTATTTTTTCACTCATACAAACTGTACAAAAGTAAAAAAGAAAAAAAAATCTATTCATATTTAAAATGATACAACTACAATTTCTCACTAATTATTCTTCAAATTCTAAGTGTTAATAACAGAAAGACGGATGTATATATCATCATTTTCTATTTGTCATCTATTCTTAAAGAGTTTCAATTCTTTCATTGTTCTAATTGTCATTGTAAGTTTTTATTAGTTTTCAACTTCCCTTTTCCCTTTTCTCATGTACACCACTCGATGAATTTAACCATTCATAAGTTGATTTTTTTTTTTAATATATGATAATCATTTATGAAACTCATGGCATCGTTAATAAAAAGGAAAAAGAAAAAGAGACATTACCTATTCAGAAGAAAACGTTATTTTTCTCAAAGAATATATGACAAGATAGTACACACTCAGATATACTTTAAGCAAAAAAAAGAAATTGAAAGTGATAGTCAACATCATAGTAGTCTTAGGTTTATCATCATACTACCGAATTTTTAAAATTCTACACTCAAATTATAGTTCTTCGGTATCAATGTTCACCTTATACAATTGAAAATATTGAATAAAAAAGAATTAGTAGTAGAAATTTATCATCAGTATAAAAAAACAACAAAAACATTGGTCTTATCGGGAAACAATGAGAAAGACATTATCATTGGAATGTTTACTATTATTTGTTTTAATAATACAAACAAACAGAAAATATATTGAGTCATCGAAATTTGCAAATATATACAAAAAAGATATTTTCTACTTCTTCTTTTTCTGATTGATTTATACAGAAGAGAAACAACTGTTTCATTCCTTCACCTTTGCGAGATTATTTTTCAACTAGTACAATCACAATTAGTTATATGAACGTGAATTTCATAATGATGATGTCATTGTCCTTCGCGCTACAAAAAAAAAGTATCTCTAAACAACACGTAACATGAACAATTTTTAATATGTACATGTGAGAAAAATTCTTTTTTTCGTTGCTTTTTTTTTTGTATGTGCAATTTTTTTTTTAAAATGATCCTGATAAGTATATATGCACACGTACAAAAGAGAAAAGAAAAAAAAAGAGAAATTACACAACGAACAACAACAAGTAGGTATGAGATACAACACTTACTACCTTCTTCTCTCTATTTCATTACAAGAAGGTGGAGATTTGAATAAAAACTAAATTTGAAGCTTACTCTTATTTTCACATGTATGACATTCTTGTCCACGAGTTCGTTAAAAAATTAAAAGTCAAAAAAATCTCACTTTCATTAATTGTTTCTTATTATTTTTTTTTTTTTGCTGCTGTCAAAAAGGTGATAGTTCATTACAGACGACAATAAATAATCATTTTCATTATCCAATACATCAAACAAATAACTTAAAACGAATATAGACATATCTCGAGGGAATTTCATATGTGTCTGTACAATAATAGTTTCAAGATAGTTGTCTGTGATCGCTTTCTTTTCTAATAACTTCATTAAAAAAAAAAAGAAAAACAAAAAAAAGAAGAAAAAATCCTAAAAATGTTTACCACAGATCATTGCTTTTTTCACAATATACATGCATCAGTGCCATAATGGAATAAAAATATGGAAGTCCAATTATATATATTTTCTGACATATCTGAATAAGAGATAGTCAAATCTTACGTTATGACATTTGTACTTTAATAACAAAAAAACATTTTTTTCTCCGTTTTTCGTGTTTTTAGTTTTAAACAGAAAAAAAAACGATAAATTCTGGATTAAAAGAACAAGGTTAAAAGTCTGATAAAAAAAGATCTTGTTCTTTTCGATGTTTGTACTTTAGCTTCTTATTTTCGATGATTATGAATAGGACGTACTGTAAAAAAATGTTCAATTTTTACGACATTTTTGTGTAGTGTATAGAACACTGTTTTATCTTTGATACGTTGATAAAAACAAGAGACACATCACCAAATCTGTACTCGAATATGAAAACATGTATAGTTGGAACAATCTAATCAATTTGATATATCACAGTATTAGTTATCTTATTAATATAATCAATATCGATACTATCAAATGATTTCTTAACTGTTCACTCTCTAATAGAAAAATATTATTCAAATGAAGATAATACTCTTTAAAACCATCACCATTTACAAAGACTTGAACTGAATATTTTGATCAATTGAACAAGTCTTTTCATCTGTCTTGACGTTTTTTCAAGTATATACAGACACACAAAATGAGATAAATATTAACATAACAATAGATATTTAATATTCAGATATTTGTTTTTATAAGAAATTATTACATTTTGTCGGTTACTGATGTGTATAGAACAAAACAATTAACAGATTTTATTTTCTTCTTTAGCCTAAAGTGATCAACCATATAAACAATTTTTCTAAAGAAATTAGTTAAAGCTGAGAAAAAAAATGCTAATTTTTGTAAACAACTATGTTATAAATCCTACTGTAATGTGACAAAATTTAAATTAGAATCTCACATTATAGTAAATGTTCAATAATAGATGGAAAGAAAAAAAATTTATTATTATTATTTTTAAACAAACCTGTTTGTAATGCATTTCGATGCATGCCCATTACATTTACACCTTCCACCAACAGCAAAATCACTAACAGCATAATAATTTGTTTCATAGGTCATCATATCGTTATTGTTATAGAATTTTGAAATTGGTGGTCGTAATTGATAGAAAACAACTTTAACATCAGTTGCCGTTACCCAATCTTGTAATACTGGACTTGTATCAAATTCATAAGCTGATGGTCGACCTTCAAGTGTACTAAAAGCAATTCGTGATGTTGATGTTAATGTTTGGTCATTATTTGCATTTGTACATAGTGCCTCTTGTTCATTTGAACGTGTAATAGTTGCAAGAGGCGATTTATTAAATGTTTTCAAACAATCACTAGAATAATATTGCAATGGTATCCATGTATTACCCTTCAAATAACAAAAAAATATAAATAACTTATTTGAGAAAAAAAAAAGAAATAGATAAACTACTTACCATATCCATACTTTTAAATATGGCCATTGAATCGGGTTTTATAGGTGAACAAAATTGTAAACTAATATAAGTTAACTCAAATTTTTTATGTAATGATAATGTTAATGTTACATTTGTTAAATTTGATTGTTGAAAATTTTCTGATTGCCAACATGTTAAATTTGTTGGATTATTAATATCGGTTAAATAATCGGATTGATGACTTTTTAATGGATCTGATGCATCACATATATCACATACATTATTATTATCTGACGTTTGACTACAATAACGTGAACGTGGATTACCGCATGTTGATGAAGCAACAATATGTTTACGAAATGCGGCATTAATAAAATCTGGTATGCAACGTTGAAAACGTCCTTGTCGTTCACATGGATCTTCAACTGATGAATAAAACATTCGATACCAACGTGTTGAAGAAATGGGTGAAAAAATAACAATAAATAAAATAGAATAAATAACAATTGAACAATAATACGATGACATGTTATTATAATTTTAAAAGTCTAAATCATTCCTAAAAATAAATATCTATGTAAATTGTCATTATAGTTGAAACAAGAAAATTATGATATAGTTAGTTCAATCAAATAGAATTAAAAATGTGACAATCAAACTGTAATGGAACAAAGTTCATTTTTATACAATATGTCCATTATAAGAGAAAAAGAGAAAGACGGATTGTAATAATTAATTTATTTGTGTTCATGTCCGACCGAGGCCACAGTGTGTGTATTTGTGGAGAGAAAGAGATAGAGAGAGAGAGAGAGAGAGAGAGAGAGGAAATAATTAATTTATCAGATGTGTACATTTTGTTTTGTTGAACAGTTTACAAAGACTGATGGTATAACACTATGTTTTTCATTATTATTATTATTATACGTATATGTATAACATTTATGAGAAAGTATTGTAAAACATACGATAGATAGGCATTGTTAGGCAAAAAAAAAAAGAAGACGAAAGAAAACGAAAAACTTGATGCCATTTAAGTGAAGTAAGTAGAACGCGAGAAAAAGATCAACAAATATTACGCATATATACATATATCGTTATTTAAAAAACAAAAAAATCATGTTAGACACAAGTTTCTAGTGCTGCATAAATTAACTTAACGACTCAGAAAGAGAAAAAAACCAGTCTACCTTCATTTTCCATCGCTATTATATCAAAAAAGTGAACTGTTTTCTTATCGAAAAATTTCAAGAAGACTGCTCGTTTTTTTTATGAGATGAATAGTATTCAATACATTTTATTATAGACTCTAAGCATATTTGACAGCATGCATTAGTTATTATACTGGTTGACATATTGATATGAGAAAAAAAGACTATCATATCTCTTATTAGCTGAGTTAAACATCTCATCTTAATAGATCGAAAATATAAACTCATATTAGAATATCTCATTTACCTGTATTATTAAAAAAGCCAAAATGAAATTAGAACCTGATAACATTATGTAGAAAATCATCATCAGGATTATTACCGACATTCATTTTCTTCGTCTCTTTTTGATTGCATCTTTCTATAAGTATATTTACGAGCAAGAGAAAGGGAGAAAGAAAGCTACTTGGACATACACATATGTACAGATGATATTATATTACTTATTTAGTACGTGTTGGCAAGCATAAATAATACATAATCTTAAAAAAATATATGTAATGTATATAGTCAAAAACAAAAAATGAAGAGAAGTATCTTCTATTGTAATTGTAAAACTTACTTATTGATCAAAGTGATCAAAAATTGTTACAACAACAAAGAAGATTGTTGTCAGATACGGTAGTTTGACTTCATGTTGTTCATGTTGATAATTCAATTCCTCTTTTTGATTTTTCCTTCTTTTATGACCATTAGAAGAAGTGATTTTTCTTTTAGTTTTTTTCTTCTTCTTCTCTCACTTTAATCCCTTCTTGACTTCTTCTTTCATTTTTTTTTCTCTCTTTCTCTCTCTCTCTCTCTCTTGCGCGCGCTCGTTCTCTCTCACTGTACACGTTCATTTTTCTTTTCGTTTCTGTTCTTCTGCATAAGAAGAGAGACAGGAAATTCATTAAAAAAAAAACCAAAATTTTTCTCTCTAACTATAGAAGGATGTCTGTATATGCTGAGAGAATAATCATCTAATTAGCTGTTTCTAGTTTAATAGAATCACTCTTCTAATTAACATATTTCACTTTGATTTCAAGTTTTTATATCCAAGATCGAGAGGAAGTACAACTGAATTGGATTCACCAGATTAAATAAGTTTTTTGGATCCGAAATAGGATACAGTTTTTGGAAATAATCAACTCGTTAGGTCAACTCCAGGAGAAACAATTTTTCATATTTCACTAACGGTTAAAAATTAATTGATAAATTTTTCGGTTTTCTCTTATAGCTTGAGTTTAATACATCATAAAAAGATTATTCATGATTCTATAAATTTTGTTAATTACATGGTACTAGATATACACGCGATAGATAAATTATCTTTTTTCTAACAGATCAATTTCTATTTCTGAACATAAATTTTGTTGTGAACAATAATACTGTGATTGGAAAAATCAAGTTCTGTGTTAATATAATGATTGTAATTATATTTCAAATTATGCTAATACTAGTGATTTATCGTGTTATTTATATATGACAGTCACAATAACAGCATAATGACTGTTTAGCTTATAGACACATATTCAGTTGAGGATAGTTTTAAACAAGTCTCCGTACTTTATATACAACAGAGGATTGGCAAGATTTGGCTATGGGTAACATGTGGTACTACCAAAAGGATGTACATACCCTTCCTTACTCCTTACAAACACATGTGAAACATGGTCGACCCTCAGCATTTTCGAGTTAATCTATACTGCTATCTGGAAAGAGTGAGTAAAATTTTATGTCTTTATCTCAAATGAGATTTTCTGTGACATTTCGAAAAACTGTTTCACTTCGAGGCCTCGACAGATTGTTAAAGACCAAAGTTGTATCTGCCCGTAAATCGTTCTTTATGATTGTGTGAATTCGACCTGGGTATTTCTTTTTCTCCTCTGAGAAAAGATCTAACAGGCACTATGTACTGGAAAAAAAATATTAAAAAAAAGAAAGCGCTGCATATCTGCGAAAAATCATTAAAAGCAGAGCAAATCAGATTGATTTCATCTCTGCCGTTGGCGAGTTTTATTCTAAAAAAGATTTTTCTCTACGGTGAAAGCTTAATTTAAAATGGATATGGTGTTTGAAACTGCCATTATATTGGAGATTTTAGTACTACGCTGGTTTGACTTCGATGGCACTTATAACTTTCTAAAAGCTGAGTATTTAGGTCTCAAATTTTTTCAGACACGTTTCTCTCTAGGGCCTTTATGTCGCAAGCGTTTGGAAAAACTGGATAAGCAATATGAGAAAAAGCCTTCAAATATAATTTTTATGGCTGAATCGTGTAACTCTGCTACCGAAGTGTGAGTGCGTTACCGTTTTTACTTTTTTTGTTAATGTTACAATATTTGAAAGAGACATTGCAGAAATTTGAGAAGAGTCTTTTTTCGTAGCTAAAAGGGTGCTTCTCAAAATCCGCCGTGGGATTAACTCGGTTCACTCCATCATAGTTGCGCTATACTAAAATACAGTAAACTGAAAACTAAATCCATTTTTTTGAGAGATGCTGGTATTTCGATTATGGCGCAAATGCCATTGAGATAGAACCGAGTTCATCCTACAGTGGATTTTGAGAAGCATCCTTTTAGCTATGAAAAAAGACAATCAGACAAGTCAAACCAGCATAGTACTAAAATCTCAAATGTAATGGCAGTTTCAAACACCATATCCATTTTAAATTAAGCTTTCACCGTAGAGAAAAATCTTTTTTAGAATAAAACTTGCCAACGACAGAGATGAGATCAATCTGATTTGCTCTGCTTTGAATGACTTTTCGCAGATGTGCAACGCTTTCTTTTTTTAAGTATTTTTTTTCCAGTACATAGTGCCTGTTAGATCTTTTCTCAGAGGAGAAAAAGAAATACCCAGGTCGAATTCACACAATCATAAAGAATGATTTACGGGCAGATACAACTTTGTCCTTTAACAATCTGTCGAGGCCTCGAAGTGAAACATTTTTTCAAAATGTCACAGAAAATCAGTGTATAAGGTGAAAACCGAATGCATTCATTTCACAGTCGCTTTTTTACTACTGATTGAAGATACCGCAAGAAATAAGCAAAAAAAGTTGGAAAACGCACTGACACAAACACGCTCAGACACAACAGATCTTTCGCAATTTAGTGAGAACAACTTATACTGTCTTCCACAGTGATTATCATGAATAACATAATCTAATTTTTTATAATTGTTCACCGCAGTCAGTGGCAGGTTGTAACGGTTACTGTTCTTCTACAGAAGATTTGATGAAAAGGTAACTTGAAATAATTTTCATCAGAAATACATCGCTGTCGTTTCATATGAACAGGAACCTTAGTCTTAAGAATGAGAGATACGATACTGCTATGCAGAATATACAGCAATGTGACTGAAAGGAGAAGAAAGATACATTTTGATACGACAGATAGATATGATTATGCTTGGATAACGAACGACAAACGAAACAAAGAAATCTCGACGTTATGACAGCAAAGAAATGAAACATATGCTTTTTCGTTTATCGAGACGCTTAAAAGGCCTTCGTGAGAACAGCTAAAAATTTACCTTTTTTCTATACTTAAATACAACTTTTCTAGAAAATCATGAAGAAGTGTTGTAGGTTTTTCGTAGACATTGATCTTTCTATCTACTATGTTTACTGCTTCATGGAAATTCTACTAAACCATTAAACTATCAAAAAGCACAATGAGTGTCTATATATCATCATCCATTTAACTGTTCATGTCTTCACTCTCCGCATGTGGATCCTCTTTGTCGCTCTCGTTCAGCTTATCTCGTTTCTGTTGTACTTGATGATGTTGTTGTTAAGCACCTCCCTCAGAAATTATGTTGGACACCGTACATCCGATTTTGATGAAACTTTCCACACATGTAAGGCACAACGGGTTATGGGAATGAAAATGTTTTATTGTCTCGACGCCTTACCGTTTAGAAGTTTTCCACAGACCAAGGTCAAAAAAAGGACGCTGAAGTTTTCCTCAAGATTTTTTAATAAACTTCAAGCTAGAGAGAGAGAGTTCCGGTCTGTTTTATTTTAAACTAGACACCTAACTACTACATGCCCATGAGGTTTTTTTATTGATTGAAACGGTGTTTAAACGGGTACAAACGACAACATAGGAGAAACGAGCTCAATAGATGCTTGAAACGCGATTCGTATATCGATTAAACGCCTAAAAATCACGGTTCAAGCATCTGTGTTATTGCATTTCTGTTATTTCGTCGTTTACACGCGGTTGGACACCGTTTCAATCGATAAAAAACCTCATGGGTGGAACGTTTTCTAGAGATCCTTAATTTTCTAAACAACTAAGGTCTAATTGAAAAATCGGCATCAGCCCACATAGAATTCTTTGCTCTTTCGATTAAAAATAGACAGTCTCTCTGTGATGAACCATTATTGGAAAAAGTGCTGTACACTGAGGATGCCTGCACAAAAAGTGTGTTCTGAGAGAAAACACTGTGCATCGGTTGAACCAACTTTGGGACTTGTAGCAAAATGCTTGTAACTTTTTGATGCAAGGTCATACAGAGTTGTGCAAGGTCTTAAATTGAACAGAAAAGTTTGCTCTTCAAATCTACGGGTTCAGAAAATAATTATCCAGGAAAAAACTATTATCTGAACTTCCTGTTTTTCGAAGCTCCTCGAAAGCCATGAAAAATCATAACCAGAAAAACGATCAACTTTTTTCAATAACAAGAGGTTACTCTTCAGAAACACGGGTGTGATGTATTCAATCGAATTCTTTTCTGCGTAACAGCAGCTCCGTTGGTCGAAACGAAGTGCTTAACGGGCATATTTACGGAAGGATAGTTAGAAGATCACAAACAATCATACTGAGAATGAGATAGTTTTGCGTCATTAGCGCAGTACGTTATGTGTGTTTTACAAGCAAAACATTTTTTTCGAAACTAGAACCAAAAAATATTTTCAGGATCAAGACCGGAACTGAAAAGCCTTGGTTTCGGCTATGTGTACTTCGGAGGTGTCATAATACAGAACTGCACGATAACATCGATTTCACCTTATGAGGGAACCGCCCCAAGTGTTCCCGAGGTTTTTCCTCTAAACACACATAGGCATAGGTTATCGCTGATACTGATTTCGAATATCATAGTCGGAGCGGCATACGGATCCTCTGAGACCCAGATTTTCAGAAACTCTAAAAAATAACAAAAAACTTTCTTAATGAAGCATAATTGCAGCTCGCACATTTCTGATTAAAATGAGACATCTCCCACCTCTACACGACCTTTCCTTGCAAAGTTATAGAATTTACAAGAAAAGCCCTAAATTAAGTTCTTTTTATTTCTGTAGCTTTGAGGTGATAATGAACATTTAGGGCTTTTCTTGTAAATTCTATAACTTTGCAAAGAAAGGTCATGTAGAGGTGGGAGATGTCTCGCAGGCATGCGCGAGTCCGAGAGGATACCGAGTCTGAGTCGAGTCTGATGACGTGAGTCCTAAAAATTCAAGCCGAGTTAAAGTCACTAACATTAAGGACTGAGTCCGAGTCCGGTCATCTTTTAGATTCTTTTTTGATGAGTTTGGTCTATTTCTCTTTTTTATTTACTGCGACTTGGATAGATATTTGACTTTTAGTTTTAAGTCTCATTTTAATCAGAAATTTGCGGGCTGCAATTATGCCTCATTAAGAAAGGTTTTGGTTATATTTTAGAGTTTCTGAAAATCAAAATCTGGTTTTCTAGGAAAATCGGGTCTCCAAGGGCCTGCATGCCGCTCCGACTATGATATCAACCTCAGCGATAACCTATGCCTATGTGTGTTACGACGAAAAGCTCGAAAACATTTGGAGCGGTTCCCTCATTAGTATAATAAGCTCATATGGGGTTGTTTGTGAAATAGTTGCTCTTTCTACGTTTTCATCCTTTGATGTTCCTCATCCTCTCATGTTTTCAAGTTCTCCATCATTCAATCATTTCAGGCTCATTGCGGTTCCTCCGAACGGTTTGTATTAATATGACTGACCGTGGTTAAATTGAAAAGTTGTACAAATAAGACAAAGTGAAGTGGGAGCATCAGAATATAGAACTATACTGTAACGTCGATTTTGCCATTAACCTTCAGAAAAAATTTCTCTCTTAAGGTATATTGATGCTTTTTTTAATTTTCTCAATATTGTTAACAAGATTTTTGGCATAAAACTGTATTCATTCTAATACCATCTTTAAAATCTCTTTATCCGTCTTTTTTGTTCCTTCACACTTCCTACATTTATCCCGTCGAACTCTTTAGGCTTCTTATACCTTCAATAATTCGAATTATTCAAGCTTTTAGATTTTGAAATTATCATTACGGTCGGTTGAGTCCGAAAGAATTTTTATTCGATTCGGTATGGTTTTAAATTTTTAAAATAACAAAAAACCAATTCTTCTGCTAATAAATATGGGTTAAACTAAACTAGAGCCTGCAATTATCGACAAACGATAGTAAGATTAGTTTTAAAAATTGCATGGTCTACCCGGCGAAAAGAGCAGATCTTTAGATCCTTAAGTGTCAAGTTCACAAAAATCTCTCTGGTGGTTGCTTCATTAACTTATATCAACTCGTACACCTATGTGGTATACAGAAAATGTACTAAGTGAATACATGCTGTGAATATCCGTTTCTTTCCAGTTGAATATCTGTTACAGATATTCAACTGATACAGAACATTTGATACAGAAAGATCAATAACATTCATTTTATTTAGAAATGTTAACGTATTTTTTCTTCTTGAAAGGGGTAAGTACTCATATAAATTGTTTTTTCGTTATACGATCGATTAACAGAAAGGATTGATAAAATTGCACATTGGAAAATAATGCATAATAATCGGAATAAAGACATAGCCATTCCTGTTTGGTAACAGAAACATTCACTAACATAGGTGCGTCATTAGTGTGTAGTTTACCGATGTCAAATTTCAAATTAACCACCAGACGGTGTGAAAAATCACTTCTAACTAAGACTGCTCAACTTTACAGATGCAAGGGAGGCTACATTGTCTACAACAACAAGTACTAATGTTAAAAGTGCTTTCTTCGCAACATCATTTTGTGCTGAGAATTTAACTTGTTCGCATTATTTGGAGATGCGATGCCACAAATATAGGCGCGATAATCTTCTTCACATGGATGAATATCGACATGATAAAGTATCATGTCAATATGGCGCTCAATGTTTGACTTTCACCCGTCTAACAGAGAATGGCTATACGCAAGATGATATTGGGCATTGTTCGATCTATTTTCATTCAGTAGAAGAGGCGGTATAACGTTAGCGGAGAATTTTGGTTCAAAAAAAGTTGTATCTGCTCATCAACATATGACTAATGGTAATGATGTTACATTCTGGAACGGACGAATCAACAACGGTGATCTCTCAGAAGAACTTGAGACGAATGGTTTTGATTATGTTATGACTCCCACTAGTGATCCTTATAAACATCTATATAAAATTGTGAGGCAAAAACTTGTACATCCTAGGCACGTACGCATAGGCTCATCACTGTCGTATGATCAAATGCTGTCGATTATTCTGTATGCAGGTACTATTATCTATACAGATATAAGATGGGATAACATACGTTATGCCGCGCAAAACTTCAGCGGCGAAGAGCCAGTGGCTCTACGACAAACATAGTCGGTTTTCGGTGTTCTGTTAAACTCTGCCATTTGTTTATTGAGTAAGCATGATCAAACGAATGATCAACCCAAAACAGTCTATCACGGACTACAAGGCATTAAAATTGATCTAGAAGGTTTTAAGAATCACGACTGACCAGTTGGAATTCCTTTAATTACTTTTAAATATGGCACATTTGTTAGAGCATCTACGGATATGGACGTAGACAATTGTTTCATGGATGACAAAGGATGTTTGCTGGAAACTGATACATCAGACATCGTGAGTCAATATACTAAACGATGTATGATTGGTGCTGATGTGTCGTGAATATCAAAATTTCCAATTGAACGTGAATTTTCGATTGCAAGAGTTGCAGCATTCGAAATTCATGACAGGCACTTTAACAATGATCCCTACTATCAGATTGTCAAAGTCACAATCGGCACTTTCTCACATACTGGTCAACGTTGTGTCGGTTCGTCATGCTAGTCATATATGGATCTGGAAAAGAGGTGTGAATGCTGATCGAATGCGAAATCTAAGCACTATCTTTTTTCTCTTCATTTGAAATTACTTCGTTTTGGTGCAAATGAACGACAATTACTGATGAAGTCTACACTCAGCTTTTTTCATCAGTGTGCTCTACCTCACTGGAGATCGTAAACGCGTCAGTTTTCCATCAATTCTATACAAAACTTACATGTCTGACATGCTTTGATACCCTTTTTAAATAAGGGTAACATTCACTCCAATTGTGTGTTCCATACTCTGAAAAAACTGAGCGATTATCTTCAAATTTTACGATCTCTAAGCAAAACCATCATGAAACTGATCGTTGTCACGTCCTTTTGAAATCAACTTTCAATAATACACCGTTAATAATAGACAAATACACATAGTTTAAGTACAATAGTTTATTCGTGTCAAAGTGAAAATGTGTACAGTATTTAATGATAGAAAAATAACCCTAATTCAAATTGACAATCAACAAAAATTTTAGTCAAAAAAAAAAGAACAATTTGTTCGTACGCAAGTTAAATGTCTATAAAAAGCGCTAATATGAAACAGAATTTTTTTGTTTAATTCGATGATATACAAATTCAAATTCATTTGTATATGACGATGCTGAGGAAGATGTAGATGCCAGTGAAGAAACGTCATTTACCTAAATAATAAACATAAGATTTAAAATAGATTAGTTGATTTAACAGTATTTCTTCTTATTGAACAACTCTGAACAAGATAAATTTCGAATCTGACATTTGATTTATCATTCTCGTAATGGATTTTACCAGTCAGGCTGTCAAATCCTCTCATTTTTGAAATTTTTTTGATTCCAAAACTTTTTCTGGACGGTTTATTACTTTTTCATTTCTTCTGATTTTAAGTTAGTCTTTTCCCATTGTGAGATACAGATACTAGAATATTGACGTGAATATTCTTAGAATATTCTTTCTTTTAAGGTCAAGAATCAAATTATATCTGTTGCACAATTTTGTGAAGATCTTATTCGGTTAAAGCGAGCATCTCTATATCGGTAGTCGTATGACGTGGTATGACCTTCCATTGAGTTAAGTGCAAAATCAAGAACAAAAAAAGAGTAAATCTACTCTGGGACGGATCAAAAGCCTGTTGATTATTTTATGCATGAATTTTATTATGAACCTGATAGCGCAACGTGTTTTCTGTAACTTACTAGTTATTGGAGAAGGGAATCGTGATATCCTAAAATATAACTCGGCTTCTCTCTGTCTCTCGTGAATTGATAATTGACGGATGAAATGAATGAAGACTATCGAAAAACCAACTCAAAAGTTCTTTATTTACAGAAGAAAATCTTGAATTCACTATGATAGCAAGGAAATTATACAGCTCAACATTATTTCTTTTTTCCACGCCGTAAAATATGTTGTATGATTTTTAATACATTTTTTTCTACTCTAAATTTCTTTACAGTAAAAAATGTTGAGTTAACAACTCTAGTTCTTACGTGCTGTCGCAAACTTATCATACCATTGTTATGTTAGGCTTCAAGTAGGTATTCCACAAGCGTTATTAACTATACAACTGTGAAACTAAACATCAAGGATTGTAAACTTACACTATCTATTTTTTGCCGTTGTTTCGCGAGAGCCTCTTCTAACTTGGTTTTATGTCTTTGTCGTTCTGATTCTTTTTCTTTTCGTTTTTGTTGTTCTTGACGACGAACGAATACATTTACCAATTCTGATTTTTTTGGTAACAATTGACCACTAAACATAAAAATGGCAAATATTCGTCATATATCACACTATCGCGTACGACATATTGTACAATTTATTCTTTTAAGTAACTTACATTTTTTGTTTATACGCTAATTCTCTATGTAATTCTCGTTTTTGATTCGATTGAGTATTCGATGTTGGTGAGGATGCATTATCCTGTTGAACTTTTGTTGATGATGCTTTTACCAGAGGTCTTTCATCTTCTGAACTATAATCAGGATAAGGTATTTGATATTGTTGTTGTTCTGTTCGAACAATTTGTGGATAGGGTGCATAGGGTGCTACTGAACGACTAGTTTCTTCTTTTGAATTATTTAATTTCACTGTATCATAGCATATTTGTTCATACATACTATTGTTACTGCTACTCGTACTATGACCAGATTCCGATAAACCATCGGATGTTGAGACTAAACAAAATTAATAGTTCATTCAAACTATTATAAACGGTAGGAGAATAAATATACTTGAATTATCGTGAACTGGTGATGCTGATGAATCATATGTAGAATAAACATTCTCATTATAGTGACCCTAAAAAGCAAAATATAAAATATAAGCATGAGGCAATAAGAGACATTCTACAAGCCAAAGCGAAACACCATGTCTTCATAGTATGTACAGGTAGAACTTATTCCATAGTAATGTACTATATATTCATAAAGATAAATTTTCGAAAATATTTAATAATCGTTAAAAAATATTTAATAATCGTGTCGATTGCAAGCAATTTTTAGATATAAAGATTAAGTTGCAATTTTTCTAACGTCATATAACATACTGAATTCTTTATTTTCCCAAAAATACCATGCAATTTAACATGCAAAAAGGTTTATTTAATCAACATCAGTATTTTATCTCATGCGAATTATACTTTTCTTACCTCAAATCGGCATAAAAACAGCGCCCGCTAAAAACCGACATTTTTTCAAACTACAAAAACTACTTTTAGTCATGTACAATGCTATCATAATAGATGCATTCCAGAAATTTTTCAATATTACTTTCAATTTTACCTTTTCGTTAACCCAACGACGAATTCGTTGTAGTGGCATGTCTTCTTTTATATATAACACACACCTTTCTCTTCTCTATTTCTCATTGAGTTTACGTTTATTGTGCATGCAATCAACACGCGAGCTTTCGGCAATTCTTTTTATACTCTATGCTCATTATACATTTCATGTTGGTTAAATGAACAGTCAAAAGCTTTTCTATTGACATGAGCATGTTCTATATTATATTAATAATAGGGAAAAAGAAAAAGAACAATCGTTTTTCGTCTTATCGTAAAGTCGATAACGAAGTTTGACGATCACACAAAAAGAGAAGAAATATGTATATGTACATTCACTTATATGTCACTAATTAATAATGGGAGTTATTCTGATACATTTATAAAGCGAACAGAACAATAAGATTTATAGTAAGATAAGTAAAAGCAAAAAAAAATCCAATTCAATTCGTATGAGCAAATATGATGTTATTTTACATATCCATCGCCTAAAACTTTTACCATTTTGATCTTTGATCATTAAGTAGCAATAACAGTCCATAGAACTCTCGATTAAAACTGACTCATAAGTCAAAAGTACTAGTTTTTGATAGAAAAATTTCTCGAACGTCAATGAGAACTTATATGGTCGTAGATGAAAACCATTGTTTTTCTATTAGTACTTATAGAACTAAAGATAGGCAAAGAGCTCAGGAGAATACATACGGAAAGCATACGAAGTCAAAGCCTATAGATACGAGGTCAGTTTTCACTACTTTTTTAGTGTAGAAGCAGACTTTTCCGTGAAATTAGTTTTCTAAGATAAGGATATGAATGAATGAAAATAGGATTGAGATATACCCATCACTATACTATTGTTCTGTATTTCATATCTCTATTAATCACTGACTCAAACATTTTTTTTGGGCGATATCCAGAAGGTTATATTTGACAAAAAAATTACATTTAACATTATTTGCGTTCATCTGTGAGATGTTAGTGAAGTCGTAAATCCTTTTTAGTCTATTCTATTAAGAAAATAATTTATGTTCAACAGGCACTACACATAGAATATTTGAAAATGATTTTTTTTTTTTAAACTTCAAACTTTATAATAAAATCTTAATAAAACAGAACGAAAACTAGTCAATATTCTCTACTATTTACAAAGATCACTTTTAGATTTTTTTCGAAAGAAAAACTAATGAGATTACTTACATAAACAATTTTTTTCATCAAAAACATCTTAATTTTCAATTTTTGAGTCTATACTACTGTATAAGAAAAAAAAAAGAGTATGAAGCACATACGAAGATTTTGTGACAATAACAAATTTGTCTGCTTCTTTGCTTTTTTTGTTCATTAACTAGAAAAAAAAAGCAGCTTTTGCTCTCCGCTCATATGTACAAAAAGAAAAAAAATTTTTTTTTTCAATTTATATACGCGAGAGTTACGTGACATGAGGAATAATTCAGTTATGTAATATATCAACTTTATTTCTTTAGTACAGAGTGAACAACTTTTGTCTAATCTATATGTACACAAACCTGTTTTCTCTCTTTCTCTCGTTTTCTTCCTGAATGATTGTGACAAAACAATATACAAAAGAAAACAGGTAGTATAGATAGATAATTTAAAACAAAAATAAAATTTGTGTATCCGTATGTCTAAGAATTATTATGTATAGTATACAAAAAACATTGAATAGAAGAAGACGAGACAAAGAAATAAATTTTACAATTATATCGAATTTCGTTACATTTGTGATTATTCTCCATTGAATATCCTTTAAGAAAACAATAAAAATAAAATGAACAAATGTTTCCAATTTTGCGATTATCTACAAAGAAATCTATTATCATGAAAAAGAAGGCTTATTGTGTTAATTTTGGTTATGCAATAATCATTTGAGATATTTCTTTTGAGTGTGCCACTGATAATCTAAATTTTTATTAGTTAAATTTATTAAAGATAAAATTAGTTCAATTTTTTTTTAATTTTTGTTTATTATTACAAAATCACTATCCTTGATATGAATTATTCTTGTCTGATCAAACAAAAAAAGTATAAATCGATTAGAATGAAGGTTGTTCATTTACCTTGTATATTTCTTTATGTCAACAACAAAAATAGTGAGTATAACTTCATCTGTATGCCTGCATCAATTTATTCCTTCCATCAATAGCAATAATGCAAAAGTAACTTATGGACACTCCAAAATCAATATGTTCAAAATAAAAATACTGGATAAATTTGTACTCAAACAAGTTTAAAGATATTGTTTAAGTGTAGCAAATATCTCGATTAGAAAAATAGTTCAACTCATTTCTTCAGTATATCAAAAGTTCAAAGGTCTAACGTGATTAATTATGACTCATCTCGTTCAATTGACGAAGAAAAGTTACTAGGCTAACGATGATCATGACTAAAGACACGTTACTATAGCACAGCGGACAGCAAGCATGACATCAGGTGTAAAATTGAAAATACACTTTTTCAAGATTAAAATACATCGTAGGATAAATTAAAGAACGCTCTGTCCAATGGTATAAAAAATAGTAAGTGGCAAAAAACATGAAAAAAGGATAAATACATTTTTGATTCCGAAAATTAAGTACAACTGATCCCGTTTACTAATTTTCGCGAAAATATGCACAAATGATCCCGATTTTCCTAATAATTTTTAATTAGTTATAAAATAACACAACTGATCGCGGAAAAAGCTGTCTTTTTTCTTGAACAACATAACTGATCCCGAAAAATTAACAAGTTATCTTACCATCTTTCAATCTGAGGCTCATTGAGCATCTATGTGGTCTTTTAATAGTTAAATGTACTTATTTACAATCATGACTTTCCGCCTTTCTGTTTGATTTATGGTAGATAGAGGCAATGTGCTCACTTTGACCGTAGATTTAACTGCACAAAACATTGATATTATAGACAAGATTTCATAAACATAATTCATATGCAGCATCACAAGGCTATTTTTCTCACTTAAAATTTAAATATAATGGATATTTCCGATATTCTAAACAAATATGTGTATAACATAATCCATAATCAAGTTGTTCTGTACGTTTTTTACTTTTATTATTTTCTTTGGTGATTGTCAATAACTCATCATTTTTACATTAAAAAAATCTTGTTGATAACAGTATATTTTTGGACTAACAATTATGCGTTGTGAGGACGTTTTTATACTTTTCAATGGAAGACAATGACAGTCGTCCTTGTGGTATGAGGTAATGAAATTGCATATACACTTCCAAATTATGTGTCCCGTAAAAGGCAGTATACAAAAGTAATCAATCTGTAGTATGGATAAACAGCTCAAACTGCATATTCTTATTTGATTTTATGCAACGAATCTCACCTATCTTTAATCTGAACTGTTTTCTTTTATAGATTTAGCAGATTAATCACTTAATAAGCAAAAGTTACACATTGCCTCTAGCTACCATAAATCAAACAGAAAGGCGGAAAGTCATGATTGTAAATAAGTACATTTAACTATTAAATTTGTTTTATTTGGACTTGGCACATGGGACAAAAAGATTATTTTCCAAAGTTAGAAGTTCTCGGCTGTGGTGTAGTGAGTATGAGGAGTTTCCACGCTCTCAAATTTATCTAAAAACATACCAGAATGTTTGTCTAAGTCTACTGCATTTATGATACATGCATATCGATGCATAAAATTTTCTAGATCTTTGTAGACGTTTTCCAAAAACCTTGGTTTTCAGGTAAAATCCGATTTTCTCGGTCTAGAAGCACTTGCATTACAAAGTAAGCTGCTATTCGGAATCAGCACAATAAAAATACGTCGAATCATGTATTAGACAGCACATTTCTAAACAAAAAGTTAGTTTTCAAAAAAATTTCGCTTGAAGGCCTAAATTTGAGGAAAAACACCTTTTGCCAAAAAAATTCTGAGTCGGCCATTCTATAGAGAGTACTTAAAAACATGGAAAAAGTTCAGTTTTGAGGTTGTCGAATATACTTCATACTTATGTCCACGTGAGATGCGGAAATTGCCCACTGCGACTAGACTACTATACTTGCACAAATCAAGGGTGAAATGCCGAGTACATACCTACTAAAACGGTTCTGTGCGTCACCTTTTCTATGTGCTTGTAATTTATCAAAAATATGAGCGTAAAATAGTATCCTTGACGATGAAAAAACAAATATACAATACGAGTATGCTCTTCTCATTCTACTGACGCCATTTATGATACGCACTATCGATTATGCATTTACGTATACTCATACAAACAAACATATATTAGTAGTTTTTTACCACAAACATGCTTATATACTGTATATTATTATAGTAGAAAATAAACAATGCACATTTAATTTTTCTCGAAAATGATGTTCAGTAATCAAAATCGAAGTTCCCCACTGAATGAGTCGGATGCATCATCAGAAGCATCTGATGAAACCTCACGTGCAACACCCAGATCAAATCAAGATTCATGGTATGATGTAAGAACAGTAAATGACAGCGGTAGTGCTGGACAACAAATACCATCTTCAAATAACAAAAATAATAGTGATACATATGATAAACGATATTTACAACAACAAGAAAAAGGTTCAGACAGATCAAATATACCTCATATTCTTGATGAAGATCAATATTCTATTCCATCAACAGCTACCACGACAAGCGTATTTGCAAGCAATGCACCCGACAGAGTCTCGACATCGACAACAAATTCAAGTGCAGTAACGGTGGTAGCACGAGGAGGAAATAACACTGGTGCTCCTCGATCAGGAAGCAACAGATCAGGAGCGAATCAGCAACAACAAAGAGCCACACCCCAAACACAAGTTACAAATGTAGAATGGGTTAACCCGTACTGGGAGAAAAATCGACAGCCAAGCAAAACTTCGCAAAACTCGTGGAAAAATCCATATTGGCAGAAGAATGATACCAAGGAGCAAGAAAATAATGCCGTCAGCAGAAATAATCGTCCATTTTCACAAAATTCGCAACAAAATACGCCAACCCGTTTAATACCTGGTTCAATACTGATTAATGATCGTGGTGAAATCGATAATTCACACGATAATGGAGAACCACAACTCTTTTCGTCTTCTCCATCAAATCGCATTGATTCAACCTCAAGTACTGGGACGTATGCACCAGGAACTGTTTACATTCCAAACGGTGGCTATCTGGCACCAACTATGCATCGAAAATCTAACAATGGTCAAACAGCATCTTTTCCTGAATCATCACAGCAAAATTCATCACAAAAAAGTTCAGCACAATCACAGGAGCTGTATGATGCGCTGGCGAATAAAAATGACCAGTCGCTCAAAAATCAAACACCGCAAAATTCGACTACGTGGAGCAACCCATACTGGAATAAACCAGGTGAATCAAAACAAACTACACCCTCATTACAACCAACGGATGATAAACGATCAATTTCTAGCAATAAGCAAGAATCCTGGCAAAATCCGTACTGGAATGGATCATCGCCAAAACAATCATGGGAAAATCCGTATTGGAAGAAACAATCACAACAAAATCGCACTTCTACCTCAAACACACAGTCTTCTCCAAAGTGGACAAATCCCTATTGGTCAAAACAACTGGGGCAACCACAAAGTACTTATCAAACAACTAGTTACCATGATGTTGTACTGATGAACGCGTGGATCGAAGATAGTGTAAGCCCATCAGAACATCGAGTTCCCCCAATCCCATCATTTTTTGAAAGAATCTATCCACCATCTCAGCCAGGAGAGAATAACAGAAATATTTCTACCCCTCAACAACAGCAACAACAACAACAACAGCAGCAGCAACAACAACAGCAACCACAACAACAGCAACAGCAGCAACCACAACAACAGCAACAGCAGCAACCACAACAACAGCACCCGCAGCAACAGCACCAGCAACAACAGCAGCAACAACAACAATCGAGCGGACAGTCGAATCTTTCCGATGATGATCTTCCGTTCACAACTGATAGTAATGGGATCATCCGATATGATGCAAGGCCCCGTATGTTTGATCCCACAACCCAAACGTATTCGCCAGTGATTAACGGAGCTCTTAATGAAAACTTGTCAAGACCAAAGGATGTAACTGAACAGATGGCTGCTTCATCGCCATTAACCCACATAGCAACAAATGATCAGCAGAACAGAAACGTTACATTTGCTGCACAAATGCCACCTCATACATACAATTATAATAGTAACCAATTACTCAATAGCAATATTTTGACGGAAGATGATATTGAGACAATCCAAGGGGCACTCAAGTTATTACAGTCTAATCCAAATGCGTTACCTGTAATCAATACTACAGCTCCCAGTTCCTCTGTTCCAGGAGTCGCTGGAACATATCCAGGTCAATACCAGCCGACAGGCCCCACAAGACAATACCAGCCGACGAGCCCCACAAGTCAATACCAGCCGACGAGCTCCACAAGTCAATACCAGCCGACGAGCCCCACACGCCAACACCAGCCGACAAGACCAGAACAAGCACATGCATCACCAATTGTCTTAATTTGATATAGACTATACACACAATTATCCGAAAATGTTTATAAAATATCACCGTTTAAGACGGACTCTACGATATTTTTTTATCAAACTAAAAAAAAGACAACTCAAACTTAGAAGCAGGTTTAACTCAAATGGCATGCCATACCTGTTTTTTGAGACAAAGATCATATTTTACTCCAACACAGTCAAATACTTAAACTCGGTTCTAAATTTATCAAAAAGCACGACTTTTGAACAATACATTCTACCATTTACCAAGGTTTTACGTTTTAATGATGAGTGCAAACGCAGTATGGTAAAAACTGGATCATTCCCTTTTTAAACGGTAAAAACGCTTAAAATATGTAAGAATATCGAGCTAATGTGAAGTTTAATAAAACTTTGTTGTCTTTTTAATCATTTACAATACAAAATATGCGGTTATGAATTAGAATTCACAAAAATAATAAATAAAAGAAAAAACGTATCAAGACCGAGACAGTGACATAAATCATGCTAAAAGTCAAGTAGGGGGGCAATATTCATTTATAAAAAATGATGCTACTGAAAAAGTATTTTTTCTCTCTGCTAGCCATCAAGTTCTTCTAGTAGCTGTTCTAAAAAAATGTTTTTGTTTTTATTTTAATTTTTTGAGAGGCCTGCCCTCCCAGTAAAATTAAATTAAACTAAACAGGATCGATTATTACCACTGACGGATTTATGAGTGCCTTCATTGCAGAGTTATAGCTGATCATAGTAATCTACAGTGGATGTTGGAATTTCGCTAGGTTATTTCACCCTGATGCGTCCACCTGGGGTCCGTTCGGATTTCACGCGAGAACGAGTGCATTGAAGATATGTCTTGCAGCTCTGCCCGATAAATAATAAGTGGACGCAATCAGTTCATATTGATAGTACACCCTATTGTCATTCAGTGGAATATAAACTAAAGCGGTAAAATCTAACTGTTGTGCTCAGGCAACGTCCAAATGAAGTCGGTAGAATTTAGGCATATAATAGGTGATCGGATCAGGGTTAATATCTCATCATTATTGTTTTTTTGCTGTAAATGGCTCTAATTATCGAACTTATCGAACTAATTATTGAAAATATCAGTCTCATCTGTCATATCCTTGACGATAACTTATTTTGTTTCTCTTGCTACTATTAAAAAGACATAACCCTTATGTATATCCATCTATTTAATCAGAAAAAAATCTTTTAACGCTATTCTTTTTCTGTTCGTCAACAGATCATTTTCACTATTTTATTTATTAGTCATTAAACATTCATTGTCGCTAATTAGTTATTTATTCTTAATTTCACGTGAATTTTTGACAACTTGCTAAACAAAAACTTGCATCATACTTTTTTGAAGAGGGTAAGATATTGTATTATTTCATTTCTCTTATATAATGACTATAGATCGATCAAATCACAATATTTTGTCACTTCTATCGAAGCTGACATCAAATAAAATGATAATCAATAAAAAGTCACCCACAAGAGTTACAGAAGAGATATTACTATGAAGTTTTTTGAAAAAATATTATCCCCTCGTCCTATTATTTTAAAGAAAACAGTACGCTCGATCACAGTAATGATGCGGATAATTACGATGATGGAAAAGATTTCTGTGATTTCTGTAATGAAACTAGTAGCGTAACAAGCGCGAGTAAACCTGAATTCGATAGTTAAACAATATTTCAAACAAGTTCATCATCAAGAATACATTTCGCGATTTTGTTGGTGCATATTGAACCTGGTGGAATGAAAAGATCATCAAAGATCAATGATATTGATGTTTATGTCTGCGATTCATTCGATAACGCTCCAGAAAATTTTCATCCAGTCTACCGCATAGATTTATTTTCAGAAAAAAGTCAAAGAATACAATTTAAAAGATTTTGTGATGTATGAAAATGGTCTCATGATTTTAAACGTTTTTTAGGAAAGTGTCAAAAGTTATAACTTGAAGAGAAATTGAAATAAGAGATAGTATTTATACAATCGTTAGAAAATTGTTAATAAAACACAAAAATTGATGCAACACCATTAACTATGCGAAGTTTTAAATACAGATTAGGTTTGCCTCGAATTTAAGATGCACGGTAAACTCAATAAATAATTAGGGAAGTTTGTATGAAAACATTCTTTATTGAAAAAGCTAATTATTCTCAATGAAAATGATGAAAAATGCAATTAATGTAATCCATCGATAAGTGTTAATTATATGTGGATCAATTACACTGCAACTCGGTTAGTTATTGAAAAGCTCTGATTTGTACTCTTCTCTAAAAACAACATTAATTTTTTTTAAAAACGTGGGTTTGGTTCTTGAAATTTTTCAGATTTAACTTACTTAGTCCCCGAGGTTTTGGAGAGCCCTTGCACTCCAGGGCTTTTTCTAGATTTTTTCTACCTGACTACAATTAAATTACTGTGGTCATAGTAATTTATCATCTTGAGTGTGAACTCAGATCTCGTTCTTTCATCATTGTCGTAAAACATCGTCCATTATTTATATGAATAGAGCAGTAAAAATTTATGAAACATCATAGGAAGAATGTCGAATACATGAGGATCTGTTCAAAAAGAATGCATTCTAAATTGGAGGTGGGACAGTTCCAGTTCCTATAGTTCTTAAGAACTGGTTACCAGCTCTTTTCAAGAATTCAAAATAAAATAAAACCGATGTAGCCAGTTATATTGACTTGGTCTAGTCAACTAAACACACCATCTACCTCCGGCGCACAACACAAAGTCAGTGTAAGTAGGTTCACCGTTTCATTTCAATTTTCATTTTCTGAAAAGAACTGGTACCTTTGAACGCGAACTGGTAGCAGTTCTCGTTCTTTTGAAAAGAACTGGTACCAGTTCCCGTTCGAAAGAACTGAACTGAAACTGTCCTACCCCTATTCTAAATGATCCAGAAAGGGAGGTTTATATTGAAAACAAAGGTCTGCACTAATAAGACTTTTACTTCTGATTCTTTCGTGTTTGAATTCATGTAGAAATTCAAAAGAAATAATTTGATCTTTATAAGCAAAGTCCTTTGCTATCGAAGTGCTTCGTCTATTTTTCTTGATTTGATGTGGAAGTACTATTGTGAACAGAGGAAAATAAAGATGCAAAGCATTAATAAGCATGCAAGAATGAGAATTGATGAAATATTACAGTTTATCTTTTAAAAACATAGAGAATTTTATTGCATCACGTTTTATATTTCCTCCATTATGTAAAATTCAAAACAGCGCCATATCTTTATAAAAAATTCAAAACTACATAATAGTATGTTATCCTCATTTGTATAAATGGCTATCTTTCATATGGCTACATTCATTTTAGTATGAAATAACGCCAACTAGAATCAATTACGACAAAACTTGATCTAAAGATTTTGCTAGTTTCATGTCTATTTCCGATGTCAAGAATAACTTCATATGGTAAAGATAAAATAATATTCGCCGATCGTGACGCACTAATACCACGCGAAGGTGATGAATATTTCAAACAACAATGGATTGAAGTCTACAATGATAGTGTGTCTGAAGGTGCTCTATTATCGAATGGAAATGTCGAATGGTCGTGCCCATGTTTAGGCACACAAGCGATTGGCCCATGTTCGGGACAGTTTCGTAACGCATTTGTTTGTTATCAAACGAGTGGCAAAGAACCAAAAGGTAGAGAAGACATCTTCACACCTTTTTGAAGAAGATCGGATGTTATATCGTAGTGTAACTTCTTGAGTTAATGTACTATAAGAAACAAGATGAAATAGGAAATTTTCATACCTTGATCTTGACAAGAAATGCAAGTAAACCTTTTGCTAAGATATCCATCTGAAACATTGAATTCCGAATTTTTTTTAAGTTTATATTAAAGCCTAAGGTTTTTTTAATGAGGGACTTCCATACCACCCCGATGTTTGACTCAAGTATCCCCTAGCAATTAGTACCTCCTTAAAACGTTTAAATTATCCGTTAAACGTTTGAATTATCTCATGAAAATCGAACTCATTTGGCGCAGCAAATCGCCCTCTATTTTTTAACGCAGGCTGTTTCTCTCATCAGTTTGTGAGTGGTCAGAGAAATATGCGTTGGCTACACCGAACGATGACTTTTGTCGGCCTAAAAAGTTTGTTGAAAGTGTTGATGAATATCATTACCTCTGGTAATATTCATTGATTCTTTACTCTGGTTTGTTGATGCCATACTGTTACAGTTTTGTAACTGATATGTATAACGTTACCGTACCGTATAGTGTGATTTCCTATGCGTTTTCCACAAGTGTGTAGCACCAGATTCAGTTTTAGACTGAGAAACGTTTTTGTTCTTTTTGAAAACACATTTTCATTGTACAATGTAAAAACGGTTTAATTTCAATTTTATTCATCGTATCTAAAAGCACAAACTGTTTCTACATGAAATGTTCAGGAAAAGCTTATCTAATTGAGAAAAGAAAAAACAAAGAGTTCCTAACAAGTTTTCAACTAGGATCAGTTCATACTATAGTTTCAGAATTGGGTCATTGTTTCTCTATGCTGTGCTAGTTTCTCGCTGTACGAGTCATTTTCGTTTGATTTTCAAAACATCAGCCTGTTGTTTTATATGTGAGCTGTCAAAAAAGGTGAATATCATTCAAAGTTGCTCGGTAAAACTATGGTTACTGGATAAATCTCGCCTTGTGCGAGCTCAAATGATTCTTTCAAAGTTATATAAAACAATTAATGAAGAACATACTCTCATTCAGCTCCATCCTTCTTCTCTCTTGTCGACTGAAAGCTCTAGTTTTCCATCTTCATTTCATTTTTTCCCCTCAGAATTTCTCAAAATATAAAATAAACCGCTTGAAAGTTTTGTTTGAGACAACTGGTCTTAAAGTTACCTTAAGATACGAGCCTCTGTTCCACACGCGTCCAAAACCCAGGAAGGTTTAGGAAAGCGTAAAAAGGGTGTTTAAATTACTGCTGTGGATTTTCTAACTAATGATAAAAAGTAAGCGTTTCGAGAAAAATCAGTATAGACTTAGTAGTGTAGTTTTCTCAACGGTATTCTAACATAGGTATAATCCTCTTCTTAATCGACAACTTCTATACAGCTCACTTTTCGATGTTGAGTGAGCGTTTAGAAGATTTACACACCTAGTAACACACTTTATTTTTTACAGTGGACTATGTGATGGAAAGATGGCATGTTAAGATGGATCTAACTGAGTTTTGGATTATGTTTTATTCTATTGCAGGGGCTGAATGTATGAATGAGTTTGTGAAAATGCAAACATGCTTTACACAATATCCGAAATTGTACAATAAAGGTGATAATATAAAAACGACAAAGGAAAATGAAGTTGCGCAAACAGTCATGCAACATCCAGAAGCACGACGACAACGTTTACAAGAAGAAGAGAAACGACGCAAAAACACAGATGTTTTACAAAATAGATTCAATCCAATCCGAATGTTATATCAGAAATAGCTTAAGTAGGGCCTGAGAGTGGTTAGATATGAAGAAAGCAAATGGAAAAACTAATCTTTTTAAGACTGCTTACGAGGGAACATATTTAGGTGTTTAAGCCCTTTAGGTCCCATCTTTTGGCGATAGGTAGACCTCAATGAGGTATGAAAAACCTCAAGAGGATTTATCTCCTCGCGCCTTTGTTTTCGAGATATCGAATTTTCAAGATGCATACGAAAAGAGACTGAAACGAAAAAATGATCGTTTATGGAGAACTGTAGAGTATTTAGGCGGAAGTCTGTTGCAGT